AACACTTAACCTTCTATACCACTTGGCTAGCCAATATTTAACGGTGTTAATGTCTAAATTCAAACAATCCACGAAATCGCGCGACCATGTTCCATTGTCTGAGGTAAATACCTGTCTCTACCCGACAGGCGTACTGCTGAGATGTCACACAATAGGACGAAACGGTCGTCCAGTGCTTTCAGGTTTCTAATGGTGGTTTAACAATAATCCGTTCAAGATCTCAATCAATAACTTAATAATTTTCATAACCCTATACTGATAAAAGTTATTCAAACAAAATGAATACTGATAAACAATACAACCGAAATGTATCAAACACAGTAATTTATTTAATTATGTTTTATATAACTGACTGATTTTACGGTTGGATTCATGAGTTGATCAAAGTTAGACTTTCATTGAAAACCTGGAATCACTGGATGATCGTTTGGTCCTGGTATGGGGATCCCTACCAGTTCGTATTCAAGAACCCATACGATGGACCAAAACCCAGAACCTTCAGTCTCGGTTCACTTCTAGGCCGCTGAGTTAACATTCAATAGTGTTAATGTCTAACTTCAGTCGATCTATGATCTTGCGCATCCTTTCATCAATTGTCTGAGGACGATAACACTTGATACGAATTGGACTCCATTAGTCACAGCCTCTCACTAGAAATCTAGAAAATCAATCTTTAATATAACCACTAGTGAGCACGTAATTGTTATCAGTGTGGAAAATTCGTAAAAATTGTAGTATTGTAGTATTTCAAGTTGAATTCACTAGTCGATCTAATTTTAACTAGGCTATTTAAAGCTTTGAATAACTAATTTGTACTAACTAAATACTCTAAATGTTTTCACACCTTCATCCTTTTTAAGAAATAAAGTCAAGCACCATCAAGTCTTTTAGAGAACACATTACCTTTACACAACGAGATCATGATTAATCTAACCAAATTTATGAACTAAGCTACTTCACAACGTTATGTGATCATCACTGATGATATTTGCATTATCCTCGAATAACTAAAGATAATTTGTTGTGCACTTACATTCTTATCATTCATTATGGAGTCAACTCAACGTTAAAATATAGTGAATGTACAAATACTTGAAAAAATACCTTAAACATAAAATGGAGTTCGAATGACATATTTAAAATGTGCACGATTATTTAGAGTATTTACATTCATAAATGAAAGTTAACTATTTGTAAAAAAAAATATGAAACGTTTACGTAATCACTCGGTGTTGTTTTACTTGTGTCTTCCAATTGTTATTTAGGACTGCTATTAATCAGTCTCACTTATTGGCATATATGCATCCTGTGCGGATTGCCTTGATATAATCTTAAGTCACAAACATTTCAGGCAAAAATGAATAGTGGTTATTAGTGGAATCTAGTTTGACGCGCATTTCATTCTATTTGGGGCTCGTCAACTGGATGTACATGCATCTCACAGTTGATGTTCACTCAGGAACTCGAACCCAATACCGTTCGCTTCAAACTCCATCACATGATCCACTTAACTACTGAGTCCTAATAGCCACCTGCTTGTGAACTTGAACTTTAGGATGCAGGCACATCCAGCTGACGAGTTCCAAATAGGACGAAACGCGCGTCCTGGATCTCACTGCTAGCCACTATCCATCTTTACTTAATCAGATTTAAAAATTTCACTTAAAACATACAAAAAAATAAACTTCAAAGACGAAAACATTTTTCCATTAATATCATGGAAACATTTAGTCAAAACTACATGGAGTATAAATACTATAGAAGTAGAAATAAAATATCATTTTTGAAATAATACTCTTACCTTTCCTGAACTTATACTACTTGTATATACATTCATTACATAAGTGTTCATTATTCACCAGAATTTACTAATAGTGATGTGATAAGTTTTTCTTTAGACTGAATAATAGTTTAAACAACTTGTTCTTATTTTTTAAGTAACGTGGTTAGAGAACGTCTAACAACCTTACGAATAATGGATTTGCTTGAATTTATTTTATAAATATTTAAACTTGATCATTAAGAATACATCGTTGATGAACTGAAGTCAAATAGTTATAACTACATTACTGCAAGTTGCAGTGAAGAATAAATTTATTGTTCATTGAAATCACGAACCGATCAATGTTAGGCCACCAGTGTGGACGTTTTCGTCTCAGTATAGGTTTCCGAGGTGCAAACCTACAACTTCATGTGGCGGGCTTAAACTTAGGACCTTCGGCTTGGCACGAAAGCTTAATATGTAGACCACTGTGCCCGTTACTACCGGTATTAGCGTTTCACTTCAACCTATCTCCTCAACCTCAGACTGAAAATTTAGTTTTACTTTTTGAGCTACTTAAATACATTATAAGTACCACGTATGATTAACATCATATTGGATGGATTGATTTGGTATACAGAAAATAGGAAAACAATCCAGAGCAAATAATATGTTCTGTGAAACAATAAATTTGAAAATAAAGAAGAATTGTTCAGATAATGATACTTTAACATTGAATTGTGGATGAAAAAGTTTACTTGTTTACTCAATGTAAGATTACGATACTTGATTTAATAGGGAATGAGTGGGTGAGTACTTCTGTAGAGCAACATAATATAGTGAATTAGCTTCAAGATAATTCCCTGGACTTAGTATATTAATCGCCATGATAACCGTTGTTAAATAAATCTCAACGGCGTATGAAATCAGAAGACAACATGAAGCGCCGACTAAAGTTATTTTATTGAACAGCATAGATCACTAAGCCACAAGCACACTAAGCGAATTCGAACAGAAAAGCTAATGAGAGCGAATGAGCGAGCTAGCGAATGTATAGGCGAATTAAGAGTCGAATCAATCAATAAGATTTAAGTACATATGTATATATAGCAGGTATATATGGTAAAGCGAATGATTCATCGAGCTATTTAAGTAACATTGAAGCTAGAGAGAGGGATATTTTCGTAGGCTGTCACATGTGATCAAGCAAACATGTTTAGGTAGACATGATAATAATGCATATATATATATTGTTACGGTTAGAATACAACTATCTATTAACGAAATTAACTGAAGTGCTTGACAAACTTAACCGTAAACAAACTTCAATGTAGGAGAGGTGCTATAATATTAGGATCAAATAAATGTTCGGTGATCCCCAAGTTTCAGCAATCATCCAACTAACAATCAATCTTAACGATTGTAACCTGGTTATCAATAGTCACCTTGCAATTTATTCAACTGAAAACATTCAATGTCGCACTTTACCACATGAATTAGGTCTTGTCTTTTTCTGTATTCAAACTTATCTGTTTAAGATTTATGCGTAATAGTAAAATTTCACTTATTATCACGTAGATAGACAAACAACTTTTAACTTATATTCAGTTCTATTTTTTAATGAATATAAATAAATATCAACTTGTATAATATTCAAATTCACTTGTTGTTGTTGTTTCACTTGTATCTTCTAATTGTTATTTAGGACTGCAATTAATCAATCTCACTTATTGGCATATATGCATCCTGTGCTGATTGCTTCGATATAGCTTTAAGTCACAAACCTTTTAGGCAAAAACGAATAGTGGCTAGTGGTGGAATCTAGTTTGACGCGCGTTTCACTCTATTTAGGACTCGTCAGCTGGATTTACTAGCGTTCCAGTGTTGATGCCTACTCCGGGACTCGAACCTAATACTGTTCGTTTCAAAGAACATCATATTATCCACTTAATTACTGATTCCTGATAGCCATTTGCTTATGCGATTGGGTAAAGTTTAAATTCACATGTATCTTTCCACTGTATAATATTATTCTTTTTTCGCACCATAAAATCACAAAACAAATCACGTCATTATAAATTCTAAATATTTATTGTTGTTGCTGTCTATTCTTTCTTCTTAAACTTCTTACTTTGAAAGGGTGAATTGTTTGATATCTTATTGACATATTCGCAACTTTGAATGATTTCTTGTTATTGATCCCTATGACAGTTACATTTTACAAAGATTCAATTATACACCAATTAAATGTTGTCATGAACATAACAAATTTGAATTCACATATCAGAATAAAAATTTTACTACAAATCTGTTAATCATATCTTTTCGATATTAAAATGTTAATTAATCTATCTTAAAGTAAGTTTTAGGTGAACAGTATCAGATATAAATCAATAGTTGATTAGTATCAGAAGGGGTTTTGTGGAGATTTTAATAATTTTAAACAGTTAAGATCATGAATTAATTGAAGCTAGATCACCATGGAAAACCTGAAAACATTGGGTGGCCGTTTCGTCTTATTATGGGACTCCTCAGCGGTGCGCACTCACGATCCCGCCTACTACCTGCGATATTCAAACCAAGAACCTACTGATCTCGCGCTCAATCACTTAACCACTAGATCACTGAGCCGGCATCCAATGGTGTTAATGTCTTACTTCAACTAATTCACGAAATTGAGTGACACATCCACCATTGTCAAAAGAGAGTTACTACCTCACAAGTGACCCGGTTGAACTCCACTGGCCTTTACCTCTCACTAGAACTCTAGGAAATACCTCTTGCAGATCGTCACTAGTAAGCATATGTTGATTAGTATCAGAAGGGGTTTTGTGGAGATTGTAGTAATTTTAAACAGTTGAGACCATAAGCCAATTGATGACACTGATGAAAATCATGAATGTGTCGCTCGATTTCGTGGATGAGTTGAAGTTAGACATTAACACCGTTGGATGCCAGTCAGCTCAGTGGTCTAGTTGGTTAATCACCTGGCGCGAAACTGACAGGTCTCGGGTTCGAATCTCACACTGCTGAGGAGTCCCACGATAGAACGAAATGACCGTCCAGTACTTCCAGGTTTTCCATGGTGATCTAGCTTCAATTGACTCATTATCACAACTGTTAAAATAGTTGATTAGTTACATAATTGATATGAATTATTTTATTTGATAAACGAAAAAATCAATAATCAATGAAGTGATAATAACAATCATCATCATAATAAATGATTTTTGCTTACTGTGATCCATGTTCTATAAATTTTATTTGTTTATGTATCATAGATTTTGGTAATTTTGTTATAGATGTATGTAATTGTGATTTAATTTGATTATTCAATTTATCTTGTTGTAAATTGGTTTTATAAATTAAATCATTATTATTATTATTATTATTTGTTATTTTACAATGTTTTAATGGATAATAAAGTTGAGTGGATTTTGGTATTTTATAATTTGTCGATTCAAATGATTTTGAATCAGTGTTACTATGACAACTGTAAGTATCAGTATCATCAATTGATTTAAATTGAGTGATATTTTGATTTGATGTTTTAGTTTTACAAGAATGTAATTTAGATGGAGGCATTTTTAATGTATATTTTTTGTTGGAATAGAACAAAAAATAACAAACAAACAAACAACTGAGTTCAAATTTTTGTATTCTGTGTTGGAAACAAAAAAAAAAAAGAAAATAGTAAATTGTATGAAACAAAAATTAAGTTTCATTTATTTACTGTAAAAATTCTTTAATAGTTATCATAATTAAAAGAATAGATTAAAGTCAAAACTTATTGATTTTTAGTTGCTGCCTCAAAATATGAAATACAAGTAGATGATTGTCTGCAATCATTATATGACCACTAATCTGGACTTTTATTAGGTGTTAACATATATCAACAGAGCATATCAACCCCTCTTGATGCTAACCATGGCTTGCTAACGATTTCGATAGGTAATAAATTTGGTCACGGAAAGATATTGTCTATTACTGTTTACATGTTATAAATTTAACAATAGGGATTGTCACATAATATCGGTAAAAATTCACTGAAAAGATTCAATTTCTTCGTAACTATAGATTACCTCTAATAAACAGTGTCAAAAGTCGTGAAAGTTAGGTCAATGGTTTGTTATCAACTTTTCTCAATCATCCAACAATAATCAGACGTTGATTATAACTTCAATTGATTGATACCAACTATTACATCAATATAAGATAGATATTTTTAAAACGTAAAATGATAGTAAATTAACTAAAAGACAATTTCTTTTTACCCTGTGATGTGTGCTACTGATATAGACAGATATAAGGAGTATGTATGATCAATCAAAAATGAAATGTCTGACAGCAGATGGTAAAAAGAAGCTGTCTTATACAGAGCCTCAACAGAGAAATATATACTAATATTCACAAAAACTGTTTATTTTATGTAATACAGATGATCACTGTATTTTTGCTCCGGTTAATTAGTTTTGGTTACTTAAGTCTAATAAACTAATTAACTAATTATAATATGTTGAAGAGAGGAATACAAAATTAAACAGCTTATTAAATCATTGTATATGACAATGATCATTGTGTTATTTGTTAATATCAGAAGGGATTTTTATGGGTATTATAGTGACTTCAATAGTTGAAATCATGGGTTAATTGAAGTCAGACCACCATTGAAAACCTGGAAGTACTAGACGGCCGTTTCGTCCTATTACCGGGCTGTTAAGCAGTACTCATCCACGTCCCCGTATCGTAAGATTTGAACCAAGGACTTAGTAACTCACTGAAGACAATGATGGATGTGTCGCTCAATTTCATGGATTGCTTAAAGTCAGACATTAACACAGTTGAATGGCAACCGTCTCATTGATCTAGAGGTTAAGTGTTTACGCGCAAGACTGATAGGTCCTGAGTTCGAGTCTAGCAATGCAGGATCATAAATGAGCACTGCTGAGGTGTCCCACAATATAACGAAACGGCAGTCTGATACTTTCAGGTTTTCAATGGTGATCTATCTTCATTTAACTCATGATTTCAACTAGTAAAATTATTTGTTAATAGTTTAAGTAAAAAAAAGTAAGCCATAAATTGTGATACAATGTAAATTATCATTTGAAGTTGTTTATTTTGTTTTTCTTTATTTCCATAATGTTTTATTCATTAACTTGTGAAAAGATGTTGGTTGCTTTGTTTTGTATCGTTCCGATCTCAATTATATTAGACTTAATGACTTGGATTAGTTTTACTAAAATATGTTAAACTGTTTATTTATATAAATAAATATAAATATTATTATTTACAGTAATAAATTAACTTAAGTAGTAAAATTTCAATTAAAGACAGAAAATGGAAGATAGTTATGCAATAGTATAGATTGATCAAAGTTATAAATTAAAACCTATTCAATTTTGGTTTAATATTCTAAAGGTTAGGTGTTTTTTTTTTCGTGAGATCGAACGTCGTGATTTCTATTCCTGGAGCCCAAGTAATGAATAGCCACTGTTAAAAAGTTTCATACTAGGATAAAACGCCCATTCAGTGTTATAAAGTTTTCAATGGTTGTTTCACTTTTATATCAATTCATGCTTTCAATGAAATTCAACAGTTTCTACAATTTTATACTGATAATAAGACTATACTGAGCAAGTCAATGGTTATTTATTTATATAGATTTTAGAAAGAATGAGTTTGATATTTTCATACTATATATTGATATATGTTAATCTATAATGAAGAAGAAAATTGAATGGAAATGAATTTTCAAAAGTATTAAGTTAAAACTAGTTAGAAACTAATAAAATTTATTATTCTGTTCTATGTATTTGATGTTAATATAAAATCAAATATTATGAACAAAGATGGATAATGACTAGCGGTGGAATCCAGAACTCTCGTTTTGTTCTATTTCGGACTCGTCCGCCGAATGTACTCACATCTCAAAGTTGATGTTCACTCTAAGACTCGAGCCACTTGTTTGTACAATGGGGTGAAATTTAAATTCACATAGTATTGTTTACTTCAATCAGGCTATTAAGACTCAGTAGTTAAATGGATAACGTGATGGCGTTTGAATCGAAAGGTACTGGGTTCGAGTTCTAGAGTGAATATCAACTGTGAGAAACAGCTACAACAAATTGACGAGTCCTAAATAGAATGAAACGCGCGTCGAACTGGATTCCAGTGCTAGCAACTATCTATCTTTACTTATAATGCTTGTGAATTAAAACTTTATCTAGGCAATAGGCAAGGTATGCATATATGCCAATAATAAGAGACTGATCAATTGAAATCCTGACATCAATCTTAAGATTTAAGTGAACGAAACCAAGTGAATTTAATAAAATCAAATAATTTTTGTAAAGCTGTGGGGCGTGCTACTTATATTGATACAAGTAGTATATGACGCAAGTCAGGAATGTAATGTCTGGTAGAAGAAGATGGAGAAGATCAAGAAAGGTAGAGCGGGAATAAAAAGCAATTAGTATGAAAATGCAAGAACAATGAAGTTCGAGACAATTATTGAACATTTTGCAAATTAAGTATTATAGTATGGTTCTTCTATTTTACCAATCTCATTATTGATTTGGTCCCTGACCATGTTTCTAAATACATGATTTTTATTTTAAATATAAACGTTTATCGCAACACATAGTCATTATTGATATCTGAAGAAGTATGGTTTTGATGGTACCATGTTAAATTCATCTAAATATATTAATGATTATTTGAATCTTTTCGGTTCGTCAATTTTGTTTAAAGATATGTATTTCAGAAGAGGTTTTGTGGATAATATAGTAATTTCAATAGTTGAGAGATCATGAGTCAGTTGAAGCTAGACCACCATGGGAAACTTGAAAGGACTAGAAGGTTGTTTTATCCTAATATGAACTTCGTAGCAACGAACATTCATGATCCTACATGCACGATTCAAACCCAGAACTTATTGATCTCGCACACATCAATTCAACTACGAAACTATTAAAATCTCTACAAAGCCACCTAATGATTTTATATATTTTTTTGTAAAATTTTCAAATCTGGCGAGGGGGTTCGTGGATGCTCACTTCTGAGAAGTCCCATCCTAGGACGAAACGGCCGTCCAGTTCTTCCAGATTTCCCATAGTGATCTAACTTCAATTGACTCATGATTTCAACCATTGAAGTTACTGCAAACTCCACAAAACCCCTTCTAATACCAAATAACATATGCTTACTAGTGACTGGTATATCCTGGAGTTCTAGTGAGAAGCGGTGACTAACGGAGCTCAACCAGGTCTGTTGTGAGATAGTAACTCACTGTTGATAAAGGTGGGCGGTGGCGCAACTTCTTGGATTGGTTGAAGGTAGAGATTAACACCGTTGAATACTGGTCAGCTCAGTGTTTTAGAGGTTAAGCGCTCACGCGCGAGAGTGATATATCCTGGGTTGCAATCTCACTTTCAAATCACTTTCACATAATGATTGTAATTTTACTAACTTGGTAACTACGATATTAAAACCTTTCTATAAAAACCAGTGTAGTAATTTGTATAAATTTTTAGAATTGAATGAAAATAAATTTTATTTGAACTCTGTGTTAGATATGAACATAATCTGATCATCTATTTACTTATTACGATATTGATAATTGGAAAAAGTAATAATAATCAAGGACAAACTATACAAATTGAAATATGGAAAAGGTAAAGATAAAAAATAAAAGATAATAAGAATCACATTACTTCAAATATTATATCAATATAATTAGGACATATCTGTTCAAGTATAAACACACAAGAAAGATTGAATTGATAATTGAGCATTGGACAGATTGTTAGAAATGAAAAACAATATAGTTGCAGATATCTTAATGAGTAGAAAAATTGGATTTTCTGACGTTTCGTCACTTAACGTAAGCCACTTCTTCAGAGCAAATAAATAATCAATTCAACGATAATTCATGTTTAAGTAGTACAACGGAACAACGCGAGAATATTATGTGATCAATAGAAAAAAACGGATCTGAATAAGTCATTGTCATGTCATTTAATTTGAAGTCTATCCAGTTCTATGGAATCATTAGGAGGTTTTTTTGCGTACCTAATATGTTCTTTGGTACGAATCAAGATTTTTTGAGATGACTCTCTAATATAGAAAGCATCACAATCGACACAACCTAATTTGTAGACGCAGTTCTGTGTTGACATGAATGAGATGTTTTTTTTCTTTTAAGCGAACCAAAGTAATTCGAAGTGTGTTCATCGTTTTGTAATATACTTAAATTTTGTGTTGTTTTAGAATTCTTTGGAGTTCTTCTGTTGTGCCATGACGGTATGGTAAAATTAAATTGGTAATAGCAGTTCACGCCATTTTCAACGACCACCAAAACGATTTCAAAAGTTTTTGATTGAGATCTTGAACCAATTGATGTTAGACCATCACAATTGAAAACCTGGAAGCACTGGACGGCCGTTTCGTCCTATTGTGGGACTCCTCAGCAGTGCGCATCCACAATCCCGCGAGCGGGATTCGAACCCAGGGCTTTCGGTCTCGCGCGCGAACGCTTAACCAACTGGACCACTGAGCCGGCATCCAATGGTGATAGTTTCTAA